AATGATGACATAACATGATAAATGCATTTGGAATACATAATAAATATATATCTTTCAACACAAGCTTATTTGGAATAGCCAATTTTATAATAAGCAACTCAGGACTTACATAAAGTACATGAGTACCGTGGGATTCAATTCTAAGAGAGGTATTTAGCCAACATACCTTGCTTCGAGCCTTTCAATTTACTACAACGTTCTGAAAATCCTAGCCACTTCGATCTATTTAGATATATAGCAAAATTTAACACAAATTAGGAAGATGATCATGGTTCTAGCTCATTTGAGCATTGTATCAAATACTAGGTGTGTATTAAGATTTCAAGGTCCTTTTATGGAGGATTCCATCATCCAACCCATTCTTTACCCTTTTTAGCTCAACAATCTTCCTACACCCCTTTGATAACACATGCATGCAAAATAACCAACTTCCATGCCCAAGAATTATCTTACTTATTACCCATTTCTAGTTAACTTTCAAAATTAAGGGTTATAATGTAGAATCTTACCTTTAGGATGAAGACCTAGTGAGTTTTCCTTGTTAATCTTTCAAGATTCGAGTAAGAATTGAAGAACAAATTGTTGAAGAACTCTCTCCCACTCTAGGGCACTCTCTCACCCTCAAAATATCTAGTTTTTGCTCAACTGATGGTACATATCATCTATTTAACGAAATAGGGTCAGGTTATAATATTCGAAAAACGGACCCTCAAAAATCCGAACCGGGCAATAGACCAGTATAGGCACGGTCTATAGCGAGCTACAGACCAGGCTTCGCGAGCTCTGTAGCGAGCTACAGACAAGGCTTGTGAGCTCTGTAGCGAGCTAAAGACTAGGCTTTGCGAGGGATATAGCACGGTCTAGCGCGCTACAGACTTGGCTTCGCGACGGTTATAGCACGGTCACATTCTTCCAGCCTTTGAGAATTCGAACATAACTTCTTGTAGGATTATCCAAATGATGAATGGTTTGAAGCATTAGAAACTAGACTCAAATGGCTTTAATTTGATAGGTAGATAACCTCCTAAGTCATTAAGTAGGATCTTGCACGAATTGAGACATCCTTTCTATTTAATGTATCCAACTTGTTCCACACGAATTCTTGCAATTCACAAAACTCCTTAGTATGTTTCAACACACCTTAAACATATATTTTTCATTTCAAAATAATATGGTTCTATCCCATGGGTCTCCTTTAATACTCGAACACATTATTCCCAAATACCGTTGGCGCACTTTAAAAATATTAAAGCATTAGGAAATGTTTTTAACGGGGCCTTACATGACTTGACATGTATATTGACATGTAGGCATAAAGACGTATTTTCCTCATGCTAATTAGTAAACGGAAATTCTTATCTGGTGTTGTGAATTGGAAATACAGTTCTGTTGATAAACTCATGTTTAGTTGTTTTTCAATTGTAATATATGGACTTGACTGTTTTACCTGGAAAGCATGTCTACTTTTCCATAATAGTGAACGAGCTGAGCATAAAATATTTTGAGCTATCACTTTTACTACCTCCATTATATTATTATGAGTTAATATTGTCTATTGGTGTGGGGCATTGTCCTTCTTTTGTGCTCGCCACTGCTTTTAACCTAAGTTTAGGTTTGTTACTTATTGAGTACATGGGGTCGGTTGTACTCATACTACACTTCTTCACCTTGCATGCAGATTTTGGAGCTGATGTTGTTGTGTGTGACGGGAGCTGAAATTGTAGATGTACATGCGTTCCGGTTATATCTGCCTCTTGCTCTTGATAACTTTAGATTTATAAATCTGTTTATGTATATTTCGAACAGATGATGTATTTATTTCGTACCAACTTTGTAAATTCTAAGTCTTAGAAGCTCATGACTTGTACGACCAATCCTTGGAATTTTGTATAGAAAGCTTAGTTATTTTATTTATTGATTCTTGTTATCCTATTTGAGTTGTGTTGTCTATCATTTGGATTACCTGGCAGGTTGGGTTAGGTTCCATCACGACTAGATGAGTTTTGGGTCGTGATATTAAGACTAGCGGGTAAGTGTACCAAATGCCAAAGCAAAGCCTCTGGTGCTTACATGGGATGATTTTGTCAAAGTATTCCGCATGAAATATGTCCCACCTACTTATCGTGACGCAAAGAAAAGAAGTTTCTAGATTTATATAAAAAAGGAATGTTTATTGTTGAATATCAACAAACGTTTCCCAGGCATTCTCGTTATGCTGGAGGTATAATCGATAATGAAAAAGATAAGTGCAAGCGATTCGAAGACAATTTGAATGATTCTATCTGATATTTTGTGGCGGTCCTACAACATGAACATTTTTCCAAACTAGTTACAGCTGCTCTTACTTGGGAAAGAATTGACAAGGAACAAGCTAATAGAAAATAAAATAGGTTCGGAAAAGCTAATTCAGATTATGGAGGTCCATCCAAAAGGGGGAATTTTGACAATTCCAAAGTTGGTAGTGTTCACAAGTCAGCTTACCATAATCAAAATAGATCAAATATTTCTACTGGTAGCACTCCAGATTATGGCCAAGGCAAGACTCTTATACCCAGTTGTGCACAATGTGGGAAGAATCACTATGGTACTTGCAGGAAGCTTCTGGTGCTTGTTTTAATTGTGGGAGCTTCGATCACAAAGTGAAGGATTGTCCTAATCCTAACCATATTTCTTCTCCGCGTACTGAAGGTTCAGTTCAAAAATCTACTACTGCGCCTTCTCAAGGGAATAAAGGTGCAAGATCTAGAAACACCCAATGTCACGACCCAAAATTCAGCTAGCCGTGATGGCAACTAACCTCACCCACTAGGTAAGCCAAATAACAACAATCTGATTCAATTAATATTTAACGGTCTTTAATACACTCCACAAGGACTGGTAATATAAATCACGAGCTTCTAAGATTAGAATTTACAAAGCTGGTGTGAAATAAAAATACATCATCTGTTTGAAATATATATATGAACATATTAATAATTCTAGAGCTACCAAGAACAAGAGGAAGATGTGACTGGATCACAGGTACATCTTCAGATCCAGCTCCCGCCGTACGCAGCAACATCAACATCAGAAATTTGCGCACAAGGTGCAAAAGTGTAGTATGAGTACAACCGACCCCATGTACTCAATAAGTAGCAAACCTAACCTTAGGTTAAAAGAAGTGACAGACTTGTACCAAGGTAAGAGTCCACACCAATAACCAATAACATCTCATGATAATACAATTTAAAGCAGCACAAGTAATAACTCAATAATAACATGCTCAGCTCGTATACAGTTATGGAAAATAAACATTTTTTCTTTCAAGTATAACAGTAAAACTCAAATCCTTTGCCGAAAGTCACCAAAATATGAGTAAGTCTGAGATATGTGATTTTTCTCAAAAACATTAACGACTGATAAGAAATTTTGTTATCAGATGGCATGAGGAAAAATACTTCTCTATGCCTACATATCAAGTATACATGTCTAATACAATGCAGCACAATGATGAACTCATGTACTCACACTCTCAGAGTACTCAATCTCACTGTCTCGCATTTCCACTCATCTCGCTCAATATTCAGCACACTCAGTCACTCAGCACTGTACATGGCAGATCCAGCCCAAATATAAATGACAACTTGCACACAGTCACTCAGTTTTGTATATGGCCAATCCAGCCCAGGGAAGATTCATCCTAAACATATATACATAATAACTGACATTCAGTCACTTAGTACTGTACAGGGAAAATCCAACCCAGGGAACTCCATACCAAATATAAAGAAATAAATAAGGCAACTCCATGCCCTGGGAAGTCCATCCCAAACATAAATAAATAACGCAACTCCATGCTCTGGGAAATCCATCCCAAATATAATATCATTTGTGCTCACTGTGGGGGGTGTAGACTCCGGAGGGGCTCCTTCCGCCCAAGTGCTATATAAATCCAATATGGCCTACTCCGGCGTGCAGTCCGATCCCATAATAATAAAGCCTATAAGGCCTGCTGCAGCGTGCAACCCCGATCCATTATATATATATATATAGCCGATATGCGTGCAGCTCCTTCCTATAAATATCCTCACAATCAGGCCCTCGGCCTCACTCAGTCACCAATCTCTTCAGTATCTCGACCTCACATTGTCATGAAACTAGCCCAAAATGATGATATGATGTATCAACAAATAACAACAGAGGCTGAGATATGATATGCAATGGATGAATATGACTGAGTATGAAATTACAGTTTAAACATATAATTTGACAGTAGAAATGACCTCAGTGGATCCCAATAATACCAGCATTTGCCTAAGCATGATTTCTAACACGAGTCATAGCTCAGTTTCTCTAACACATGAAAAATACATGAAAAAATACAAGTTAATTGACTACACATCTCTACGGAATCGACTGAGTCACAATTTCTACGGTGCGCGCCCACAAGCCCATCGCCTAGCATGTGTGTCACCTCAAAACAAATCACATAACACGTAAACTCAGGGTTCATACCCTCAGCTCCAAGTTTAGAAATGTTACTTACCTCAAACCGTGAAATTCTTTATTCCAATACGCCTTTGCCTCACGAATAGGCCTCTGAATGCCTCGAATCTAGTCACAATTAATTCGATACAGCCAACAAAAATTTTAGGAATCAATTCCATATGAAAATACTAATTTTCCAACAAAATTCGAAATTCAACTCAAAAATCATCAGTGGGGCCCACATCTCGGAACCCGACATAAGTTATAAAATATGAACGCACATTCAACCACGAGTCCAACCATACCAAATTTACCAAATTCCGACATCAAATCGATCTTTAAATCCTCAAATCTTATTTTCAAATCCCTAGGCCCAAATCCTCGAATTACACCTCAAAAACACGTAATCTAGTCAGAATAATCGATGATAATTCAATATTATTGACTAACAATGACCATAAGTGACTTACCTCAAGTTTTCCCATGAATTCTCGCTCAAGAATCGCCTCAACCCGTGTTGGAAATGTCCAAAAATGGCAAAAGCTCAGAACTCTCTATTTTTGTACACTGTCCACAAGTTCCGCTTCTACGGAAAAATTAACCGCATCTGCGGTTCCGCTTTTGCGAAAAAACTATTGCTTCTGCGGTTTTGCCCAACTTCCCCTGCCTCTGCTTGTGCACCTTGGTATCGCTTCTGCGGACTCGCTTCTATGAGGCTCAGTCAGCTTCTGCGGACCTTACGCTTCTGTGATCAACAAGTCGCTTATGCGGCTTCGCAGATGCAGCAAAAGCTCCACATCTGCACACACTGCCCAGTCCCTCTCCAGGCCACTTCTGCGAGCTCGCACCTACGGGCAAAATTCCGCAGGTGCGATTGCACCAGAAGGCCAAAATTTCCAGATTTTTCCTTAAGTAAATATATTTGATCCGTTAACCATCCGAAACTCGTCCGAGGCCCCCAGAACCTCAATCAAATATACCAAAAATTCCTAAAACATTATACGAACTTAGTCGAGGCCTCAAATCACATCAAACAATAAAATAACCATGAACCACACCCCAATTTAAGTCTAATGAAAACTAACAAATTCCAACTTCTACATTCGATGTCGAAACCTATCAAATCAAGTCCGATTGACCTCAAATTTTGCACACATGTCATAAATGACATAACAGACCTATTCTAATTTTCAGAATTGGATTCCGACCCCGATATCAAAAATCCCACTCCCGGTCAAATTTCCAAATATTCCATTTCCTAATTTTTCCATTTCAATCCAAAATCAATTACGGACTTCCAAATAATTTTTCGGACACACTCCTAAGTCCAAAATTACCATACGGAGATATTGGAATCATCAAAACCCCATTCCAGAGTCGTTTGCATAAAAGTCAAACTCCATTCAACCCTTTTTGTTTAAGCTTCCAACATGAAATTCATTCTTTCGAACTAATCCCAAAACACCTAAAAATCAAAATTGATGATTTACACACGTCATAATACATCATATGATGCTATTTAAGACTTCAAATAGTTGAAAGGAGCATAAATGTTCAAAATGACAAGTCGGGTCATTACACCCAAACATCATGTGCAGGTGGAGCTAATCAAGTTAGCGGGTCAAGATCTACAACACGAGCTTATTCTATGAGACAGAGGGATGACCAAAATAGGGTAGATGTGGTTATTGGTAAATTTCACATATTTGGCTTATGTGTTGTTACACTATTTGATCCTGGTTTTGCACATTCTTATGTTTGCTCATCACGTGTTTTTCCTGAAAATGTGAAATTTGTGAGACTTGATTGTGGTGTGCTTGTCAAAAGTCCTTAGGGTCATCAGATTGTTTGTAATCATATCTATCGAGGTTGTCCCTTTGTGATTCAAAATCTAGTCTTCCCTACTGATTTGGTTGAAATGCCTTTCCAAGACTATGATGTCATCATCGATATGGATTGGCTTCATAGATACCATGCAATAGTTGATTGTAGGTCAAAGTGTATGACCTTTAAAGCTCCTACATTTTCACACATTGTTATTCAAGGTGAAAGATTATTGACATCTAATATTATATTTGCGATTATGGCAAGAAAGATGATTAGTCAGGGTTGTGAAGCTTATCTGACTCATGTAGTTGATACACACCTAGAAAGTCCAAGCCTTAAAGATATACCAGTTTTATGTGAATTTCCTGATGTTTTCCCTGAAAATCTTCCTGGTTGCCCCCGGAAAGGAAAGTTGAATTTCCTATAGAGGTTATTCCTGGAACTAGTCCTATTTCTATAACTCCTTACCGAATTGATCCAGCAGAATTGAAGGAGTTGAAAATTCAATTGCAAGAACTTTTGGAGAAGAGTTTTATTCCCCCAAGTGTTTCTCCTTGGGGAGCTCCTATTTTATTTGTGAAAAAACAAGTGTACGATGAAATTTCTATGTGTTAGAGAAATTGAGTTGTGAATCATGTTAGAAATCATGTTTAGGCTATATGCTTATTCTGTTAGGACCCACTGATGTCATCTCTGTTGTTGAGTTATTTGCTTAAATTGTAGTTATATACTCAGTCATATTCATTCATTCGCATATCATATCTCAGTCTCTGTTATCCTTTGTTATCACATCATGTTATCATTGTTGGGCTGAGTGGCATGAAATTTGTGAGTCCGAGAGGCTGGAGAGATTGATGACTTAGTTGGGGTCTGAGAGCCGTGTTGTGAGAGATATTGTGGATTGGGCTGCATGCCGTATCATGCCATATTTATATGGATCAGGCTACATGCCGCAGCAGGCCTTATAGGCTTTATTATTATTGATGGGATTAGGCTGCACGATGCAGCAAGTTTTATTGATTCATGATGAGATCGGGCTGCACGCCACAACATGCCATGTTGGCTTATATTACCGCTTGGGCAAGATCTGCCCCTCTGGAGTCTGACATACCAGAAGTGAGCGCAGGTACCGTACAGTACTAAGTGACTGAGTATGCTGAGTGATTGAGCGTGATGAGTGGTAATGCGAGACAGTGAGATTGAGTACTCTGAGAGTGTAAGTACATGAGTTCATCACTGTGATGCATTGCATTTGACATGCATACTTGACATACATGCATAGAGATGTATTTCATCACGCTACACGATTTTGTGAGATTCATGATTTCACATGCATATTGACATGTAGTGTCACGACCCAAACCGATAGGCTATGACGGTTGCCCCGAGTCCTACCTGTCGAACACCCCTAAGCATGCGTCTAAGATATAAACATGAATAACATTTGTCAATAAACTGATGAGTAACGTGAATAACATACGTGAGGAAAACATGTTCAAAAGGCATAGTATATATATATATATATATACATATGCATGTGGAATACGGTAGGGAGAGCCGACAAGGCTACTATAGATAACTATATATCCAAAACTAGAAGCCGACAAGGCCACATACTATCCAATTATACATGACTATCTACAGACCTATAATAGAGTGTACAACTGTATAAAGGTTGGGACTGGGCTGTCACGACCCAAACCGATGGGTCGCGACGGGTGCCCGAGTCCTACCTGTCGAACACCCTTAAGCATGCGACTAAGATATATATATATATATGAATAACATTCGCTGAATTACAAGAATAAAATGCGTGAGGAAAACCTGTCCAAAAGACATTGTACATATACGTGCGGAATACGTAGAGCGAGCCGACAAGGCTTCTATAGACAACTACATATCCAAAACTAAAATCCGGCAAGGCCACATACGATCCAACTATACATGCTGTCTACAGACTTCTAATAGAATATACAACTTTACAAGGACGGGACTGGGCCCCGTCATACCCATAAATGTATACGAGCATATCGTACCAAAATCAACAGCAGCTTCGGATCAAGTGGAGCATGCCAACTATCGCTGATCAAGGATCCTAAGAAGGGGGACCATCAGCTTGTATACCTGCACCTGCGGGCATGAAATGCAGGCCCCGTGAAATAGGGCGTCAGTTCGAATAATGTACTGAGTATGTAAGCCATGAAAATAAGTACATGACAGACATAGATGAAACATGGAATAAATAATTCCTCCTGTAAGTCTAAATAACTTTGTAAATCCTGAAAAATTTATAATGTTATGCACGTGCATATAATATCGTATCATGCATAGGTATAGGTGTACATAACATCATCAAGCCTCTGAGGGCATCCCATCATATCATCTCGGCCACTGTGGGAAATATTATCAACACATACCAACTGATCAGGTGGTGATGCGTATATAACGTCATAACCTTTTCCCATATGCCATATACATATAATATACGCGTATATAACGCCATCTAGTCATGGGTCAATGTACATGTATAAATGCATAAAATGCATAAGAAATACGTTAATAAGATTTCTCGGTATGTCATAAGATCAATATGCCTTTCGGATAAACTTTATCAAATACGTATTTTTCTGAGACCATGAATAGAAGATATAATTGGGGAATCAAGAATATAGACACCCCTAGTATTTCTATGAATATATTCATTTATGAAAGTTGTGTATTTTGCTCGTTTCATTTGTGTCATTTGGATCATGCCAAAAGGAAAGAAGGGATAGCCTTAACATACTTGAACCGATTCTCTTGAGAAAGATTTCACTGTATTCCCTTATAATTGCAAAATCTTACAACAGTAACATAAACCCAATGCCTACCAAGTGCTCCATCATGTGTTATTTGGTATTGTGGTAGGAAAATGTTCTGTGTTCCTTCAATATGTTATGACGCGACTTCCTAATAGAAAGAACATTATAATTGAGTCTCTTGAAAATCTAAGAGGCCAAATGAAGCAAAATGGTCACAAGTCTCTAAGTGTGTTTGAATGGGTGTGGGCCCACTTCAAGTGGTGACTAAGCCACTTTAATCCTCCAAAATGAGACATCTATGCAAGACTTTAAGAGTCATTTTAATTTTAAGGGGTGCAGCCATGTTTTTGGGCCTCTTAGGCCTTATCCCAAAATCTTAATTATTCACTAATGTCTTATTTAACTAATTAATCTCCCATTAACCAATAATCAACCAATTACACATATAATTAAGAATTATCTCAACTTACTTAAAATACTACTCACTTTTAACATACCTTATACACCTTACTATCATGGTCATGTAGTACCTTGTATGGTACTAATCCATAAATATCGGGTATTATGGCTCGTACCGTATTTTATCCCAAACAACCAACCTTCAACGAAACTTATTATCTTTCATTCGATTACCCTTTATCTTTCACGGTACTTACTTATTGCTTGTTATAAATAGCATAAATGCTTATAACCTCAAGAAAATCTCATCCCCGAGTCTTTGTCGATTGACTTACGCCGAAACTTTTACGTACGAAATGCGAGATATAGCATGGGCCCCGTCGTACCATATCTACATAAAATAATAGCGTACCAAAACTAATAACAGCTCCGGAACAAATGGAGCACACCAACTCTCATTGATCAAGGATCCTAAAAAGGGGGATCGTCAGCTTGTCTACTGCACCTGCGAGCATGAAACGCAGGCCCCAGGAAATAGGGGCATCAGTACGAATAATGTACCGAGTATTAAGGTATGAAAATCAGTACATAAAAGACATAAATGAAACATGGAGTAAAGGAATCCGCTTGTAAGTCTAAATAATTATGTGAATCCTGAAATATTTATAAAGTCATTCATATGCGTATAAATGTCGTATCATGCAAAGGTATATGTGTACATAACATCATCAAGCCTCTGAGGGCATCCCATCATATCATCACGGCCTCTGTGGGTGAAATCATCAACGTTACCAACTGATCAGGTGGTGGTGCGTATATAACGTCGTAACCTTTTCCTATATCCCTTATACATATAATGTACGTGTGTATAACGCCATCTGGTCATGGGTCAATGTACATGTATAAATGAATAAAATGGATAAGAAGTAGGTTAATAAGATTTCTCGGAATGTCATAACATCAATATGCCTTCCGATAAACTTTATCAACTATGTATTTTTCTGAGACCCATGAACAGAAGATATAATAATAAAACACATGGGAATTCAAGAACATAGGCACCCCTAGTGCTTCTATGAATAGAGACATTTATGAAAGTTGTGTGTTTGCTCATTTCGTTTGTATCATATGGATCATGCCAAAAGAAAAGAAGGGATAGCCTTAACATACCTGAGCCGATTCTCTTGACAATCCCTCTAACACACGTCAATTGCGACAAAATACGTAACGACGGATTGAAGTAGGGAAAAATCCGTATGATATTCTTGAGAAAGATTGTACGTCCTCTCTTAGAATTGCATCTCACGCTGTTGTAGTGTTATAAGGGTTCATATGAACTTTTGGTGATGCTACATCCGTTACCTTACAAACATATACATTTCCCTTTAATGACATAGTAAGTGTCTTTATCATAGGTGTGGGCCCCACTTTATATGATGACTTAGCCAATAAATTCCCTAAATATGCCACCTAGCCCCTAGCCAAAAGAGTCATTTTTACCTAAATCCCTTGCTGCCGCGTTAGGTCTCCACTAAGCTTATCCAAAAATTCTAATTACTTTGTTAATCTCCCACTAAAAATTAATAATTAATCAATTATTCACATAATTAAGAATTATTTTAAATTACTTAAAATAGTAATCACCTTTAACACACTTTATATACCTTACTATCATGGTCATGTGGTACCTTGTATGTCACTAGTCCATAAATAACGGGTATTACAGCTTCGACCTTATTGTATCCCAAATTGACAACCTTTAACGAAACTCATTTTCTTTGATTTGTTTACCCTCTAGCCTTCACGGCATTTACTTATCCCCTATTATAAATAGCATAAATACTTATTACCTCAAAAATAATCTCATTCTCGAGCCTACTCCGATTAACTTACGACAAAACTTTAACGTATGAAATGCGGGATGTAACATCCTCCCCCCCTAGAAACATTTATCCTCGAATGTTTAACTCCCCTGGATCTATATAAATGTTTTTTCAGAGTCGCCTTTGTAACAGTACTACTACCAACCCTTCCTGTAAAAGACTCAATAATTCAATGCCACATATTGCCATAATCACCAATAACGACAATAGCCTCACACGACCAATGACCATAACTAACACAAGAATCCATACACGCACCTTAAGGTTGTGATGTCTTAGTCGGATCCTCCTCTGGAAGAGGAAACAAGTGGGAATACCTAGACTTCATGTCTTCTTCGGCTTCC